CTACAGAATTTTGGTTGAAAAAATGTCCAGGGAAAGAAAAGAAGAAAAAAGTGAAGAATCAACACATTAAATTTCTTTCCTCCTTTTTTTTTTCAGAACTCTAAACATTTTACTTTTGCCACTAAGACAAATACGTTTTTCTGCTGTAATCTCTCTGTCCTCCATTTTGTATGCGAGTCATCAGAAACAATCCCACAGTTCACGGATAATCCAAAATAACATTCTTTTTCTTACACCGATTTGATTTTTTAAGAAAAAAAAAAACTTTGAAAAAAAAAGTGAAAGAAAAGTTCAAAAGAATAACATGAATTTTCCCCCTTTATAAACAGCAATAAACAGTGTTCTCATTTGAAAAAAAAAAACTTTTTTTTAAATGTATAAACTGACAATCAATGTTTGCAGTATTATAAAATGAACAGAAAAACATTTTAAATAAATACATAAATTAATAAAAAAGCAATTTTTTTCCTACTTTTTTTTTTTCTGCTATGTGATATTGACGTTATCCATAAATTTTTTTCAAATCTAAAAATTTTTGCTGCCGTTGCAGCAGTAATAAAAAAAAAAAAAAGAAAAAGAAACTGTTGAGTAGAAAAAAATTACTTTGAAGTTTTTAAATCCATAGCTTTTTTTTTCTTATTTTTTTCTTCCTTTTTTTAGGAAACACATAAGTTGTTAAAACATTAGTTTTAAGAAAAAAATGAAAATTTCCCGTAAAAAAGTACTCAACACTTTTCAGTTTTCCTTTAGCCACTTTTACATATAATAACAGCAAACGATTTTCATTTATTTTCTTTTTTTTCCTCCATTCTTCTTTCTTTTGCTTTACTTTTCAACGCCTATTTTTCTTTCACTCAATTGTTAGTCCTGCAAAAAAAAGGAAAGAAACTTATGATTTTGATACTGTGAAACAGGCTCTTAACAAAATAGCCGGCTTAAATATTAAAAAGCACAGTTTTTTAGTTGCTGTAACCAAAAAATAAACACTGCAAATATTTTCATCAAAATTAACTCGGTTAATTTTTTCCCCATTCCATATTTTCCTCTAATGCGCTCTTTTTTCCTGTCTAAGGAAAAAAATTATAAAATCGATTTTTTAGTTGACTGTTTTCAATATATATATA